CAGCGAACAAAGTGAGTTGTGACAAAGCAAAGCATAAGTTTGTTGAGCCTTTGACGTCATGATGACGTTTTTGCGGGCTCGGCTGGAACATGTTTTCATTAATGGCGGACGATTTTTGGACGACTTTGAAGCGGTAAAAATTGGTCATCGAAGGTTTGTTTTGAGTTTTTAATGGTAAAAAGGGTCTTAACTTGACCCAATTCAACATTGTGTAAACAATTTAGGCCAAATAAAATGGTCAATTTTCGTCTCAGGGGCACTTTAACATACACTGGTAACTCCCTCGTGCACATAGTTAGCTCAATTGGTAGAGCGCCGGACTGTTGTGTGGGAGCATAGTTAGTAGTTCAAATCCGGCCGGACCAACACTCAGGGTCTTTAATTAACTGAGAAGAAAGTACTGCCTTTGTAATAATATCTCCAAACGGTTAGACTTTCTAGTCTTCTCGGATAGGGACGAAAAATGGAGGCCCTGTCTCCTGCAGGGTTGGGGTAGGAGACGTTAATTTCCCACACACGAGATTACTGTGTGACGGATGTCCTCCTCGGGGTGGGATGGGTGGGTAATAAAGAGGTTAGGTGTCAATTGGAACGAAAGTTCTGTTCCTTTCTCCTGCCATTCCTGTGGGGAATAAATTAAACTTAAACTTAAGTTCTTCTGATTGCTACTTTTGCTGTGTCCTAATGAGAATATTTAGAAACCCCTCTGAACTTAACCTTTCAGGACGCTTAAATCTGAAAAAAAGCCTGCTCCCACAGGGTCACCACATGCTACTTGAAACATGGCATAGTTCATTCAAACATTAATTTACCTCTCTATGTTGAAGACACAGGCTGTGGTATTAATTAAAGTCATATGAATCACACCAACATTTAATTGTTTCTTTGGTAATTCTTTATTCAAAAACACTAACAAAACTAGGAAATAAGTTTTCACAAAAACATTCATCTTTCTTACAATTACTAGTCTTCATGACTGATTGCCCCCCCTGCCCCCTACTAGGACATATGGTACTCTGCACCTCGATATGTATCATGCTTTCAGCCCTTCACAAATAGCAAGATTACAGTAACTTAAACAACAACCTTCTCTAATGTGTTATCAGGTGTAGAATCACTAGATTGACCTTGTGATTTTAAACCTAAAGTAACATTTTTGAAAGATGACAATTATTCACAACCTAAAATTCTTGATTTGTACAGATTGTTTTATGTTTACTTCAAACAGATTCATTAAACAGAATCATTGCCAATGCCATATAATTATAATTTGTCCCTTATTTTCAGTCATTTTAATTTGCTGTAATGTAACATAACTTAATGAAGAGGTGAACAAAAACTCTAAATTATAATTGGCATGAGTGATTTAACAGTAGCATTTGCACAAATCAATAGAATTAAAGACTATTGCCACTGGTTCAAATTTGTAAATTGAGCGGCAATTACTTATATAACCCTCCAAGTCTCACAATCCAAATGGAAATTCTCCCCTCTGACTGCCATACATTTCCTTGTAAATCAGAAGGAAAAGTTACATGTTATATCATGATGACATCGAGCTGAAAAGCATCTTATCTCATGACCTATTTGCCAGATAACATATTGGAACCACAGGGAGAGGTGACATGTTCATCACATCTGGGAGTTAAAAGGATAACAAGAAAACATATTCAAAATGTATGGATATGGACTGAATCTAGATACTTAAGAAACTCAAATTCAAACATAAACTTCAAAATATTCATTTACCAAGCTTAGTCAAATTAGATAGGTAGAAATACTTATCTCGAAGGAGGTATAAGATCCAAAACTTAAAGAAATCAATTGATGGAAATGAATTGCTTTACCAAAAGTTATTTAGTCATTTTCATTTATTAAAGTAGCACTTCCTATTTCTTAGGATCCTTTGGTGGCACTGAGTTCTGACAAATTCCATCACATTCTAGGGATAACACCACCTATTTCTGGAAAAATATCATTACTTATCTCTGTAAAAATTTTCCATATAGCATTGGAAAAGTTTGTTCAAGGACAATAATGTAGTATTGACAATAAATTTGCAATCAATTTGACTGTCAAGTCTTATTGATATAATTTATACCTATAAAAATTTCTAATTGGTTTAACTTTATTTTTCTGGATTATGATTTTGCAGTACAATCTCTTGCTAATTGGATTGTTATCTGCTCATGATGCTTGTTATGAAGATATCCTTCACAACCCTGTCATTGAATTAGCATCTTTATTACTGCACTGATGTTTTGACATTATCTTGTCCCCAAATTTCCTTACATTTCACCCAGATTGATGCACTGTAAAGTTCATGCAGATATTTGAAGACACTACCATGCTCTGGATGATAGCCTGCATCATCTCCTTGTGTTCCAGATCTGGGTAGGGGTCTACATTTTCCTGTTTCCAAACTTGTAGTTTCAACATTGTGATACATGGTGCGAATATTGTTTCTCCGACGTTCAGATTTGGGTCTCTGCTGACGGGTCAATTCTTCGTGTTTAACCCTCCTAATCAAATCAGAGTCATCTCTACTTCTGGAGGGCACATTTCCTGTCAATCTATTTAACAAATCATCTTTGTGTATATCCTCTAGTCTCTCCAGATCTGAATAGCTTAATGGCATCAGGTGAGAGGAGTCTTTGTGGAATGAATAAAAGCCCTCATCAAGTGCAAACTCGTTATGAATTGGAATTTGATCATCCTCGTCATCGTCAAGATTGATCAGATTACCAACAACTGATCCAGTTCTGTTGACAATAACGTCACCAGAGATGTCACAATGGCGAATTTCTGAAGAAGCAATAGGAATTTCCTGTTTCTTTTGTGGTTTACTATTATCCAGCCCATCATTATAAACAACACCAAACTTTCCTATCCCACTCGAACTAGGCAACTCAACAATTGGATCAGCGTTCGACCCTTGTTCTTCAGAATTTACCTCATTGGGGCCTGAAGCTCCCGATATATTCGTTGTCAAATTTGAACCGCCATTTGCGCTCGAACTGACAAGGTCATCCGAGGTTAATTTTGCTAAAGTGCTTTCAAATGACTCTACCATCATTCTCAAGTACTCGTAATTCGAATGAGTGATCGCTCTCATCCAAGATTCCATTTCTTTCGGTGTATCAGCACCAAGAATATACGTCCTTGACCCATCTCCACCAAAAGTTATCTGAAATGCGTATGGTTCTCCACTTTCTGCTAACTCTACGTGACAATTGTCCAACACAATCACTCCGATGGGTTCTTTGTCGGACCTTTTCTCGAAATAATACAAAAGATTTCCCTTCAGAATAAACCAACGTCGCTGATATCCTCGATTCACTTCACCCTTTTTATTGAGGAAGCCTTCTTTGTCGATTGGAGCCGAGGAAGTAGAAAATTCAGCAACGCAACGTTCGTTCAACCTCATAGTAATACGCACTATCTTTGATTAGTTCACCAGAATAAACATCTAAGACACCATCCTTAACTCTGAATGGGCATGGCCCTAAACTGACGAATAAAACTCCTCAGTAGTAAATATGCGTTCCAGGAAATTGTCACTTTCAGGCTCCATGTTTTTTTTTTTCTTGGTCACGTGATATAAAACGAATAGAGGGGAACTGGGTTCTAAATTGGCAATTAGAGCGTGACCTGGCACTACCAAAACACTTCAAACTTCCGGTTTCTCACGCTTTGGTCGAAGAAAACAATCCTTTTCGATGGAAACGTGTACAACCCAGTACACAATGTTTCGACAAATTTTCCACTCATTTATGATTGTAGGAGAACCTAACAATTGAGGTAAAACGAGTTTGGACGATGGCAGACTATAGGCTTTAAACAGATCGACCATCTTCCGCCATTTTGGAATTTAAGAGGTGAGTGTATTATAATATCGTAATTTTGTATCCTTAGGTTGTTATCGTTAGCTTCAATTCATGATTTTCAGTGAATTTAAGGGGGGGTCAGCAAGGGGGGGCAGTAAGGGGGGTCAGTAGGGGGTCAGTGTTTTGTCCTAGCCCGAAAATTTTTGTGGGATCGCTCTTTAGGAGCTTAGAAACCAGGCTCAGTTTAGTAATCACCGATCACCAAGCAGAAATAAGTATGGCGGAGTGCCAGGCGACGTCAAGTTGCTTGTCGTTTTGCACTCTAGAAGAGAGAAAAGCAGACGGGAAAATACTTTATTACGAAATATTTGAGTGGAAAATTAAACATGCTCCGAGCGGAATTCACCATTTTTCTGATGCTTCGCTAGACCAGCAAATGAGAAGGGATTTAAACACCTGGATCAGGTACGCCCGGGGTGGGGAGCGGGGGAGGGAAAGGAGGTGGTTATTCCTGGTAAGACACTAATTGTGTTGTACCGTTGAATGGCGTCGCATTTTTATGACTGGAGTGACTGTAATGGAGTTGCACATTTTTGGGTTTTTGGGGTTAAGAAAATCACGGAAAGTAGAGATTTAAAAATGGGAAGATTCACAGTCAAAAATTTGCTTCATTGGCCCAAAAGTAACTAAGATTGGGTCTATAATTGGTCATGGAGCACACTATAAGAAGGAAGGGTTCTGAGGAGCCAGTGGTACATACTTAGCACAAATTGATTCAGGCTTTTAACTTTATTCTTTCAACTTTCATACATTTATTTTTGTTAGATCTTTTCTCTGCAGTTGTTGTTCAGTGCTGATTTTGACACTGATCAATGTTTTTTTTTTTGTGTCCAACGTTAAGGGATATTAGAGTCATTGATTTTAACTATGCACTCTTGTGAAGAGAAGTTTTAGTCCTTGGTTTTGTTGTTGTTGTTAATTCAGTGCCTAAGATCAGACAAAAAATGATTACAACCGATAACAATACGTCTTTTTCTTGGGTAGTTTTTTTGAGCTAATTATACAGCAGATATCTTACAGGATTGTTTGTTTACATGACTTAATCATCCAGGTGTAGGACCTTGATGCCCATAATTTTCTGTTCAGTTGCTCAAAGATTACCTAATATGCTAATAGATACCAAATTTCATCTAATAGGCGTCACAAAGGGTACTCATCAATGAAGTTTCACCTAAATAGCTATGTCAGTTATGAAAGTATTCTAAAACCTTGTCATATGGGGTACACACCAAACAAATCTTGTGGTCACATACACTATGTACCGGTTCATGTACATGTAAGAGATACAAAACTGATACAAAGTGGCATTATGTGTATAACCTTTGGTCACCAGCTGTGTCAGTTGTGATAACTCAAGGGGTAGCTTATTGAGGAGAAGCAATGATCATTAAGGTATTCCATTCACTAATCTTTAAATTGGTATCATTGAGTAAAAAGAATTATTGATCATTTCATAACCAGTCCATGGACATGTTCCCTACTTATTTATCACAATGAGCACTGCTTTATAAATGTAATTTTTAATTCAGTACATTGGGAGGTACAGTAGATCAACATGATATACTAATGCTTTTAGAAACATAGATGAAAGGACTTCATGCCAAAGACTACAGATCTTATTTTCATTTTCTGTCCCTTGTGAGGCAGCCCTTGAACTTATCATTGGATTGAAAGTTTCCATCATCTCTGCAGGTGCTGTGAGTATTGACTATTACTTTTTCACTATAAAACAGCAAAACATAACAAGTTACATGTACATGTATGCTTAGTATGACCATCAAGCCGTCTTTTTAACAGCCTGGAAAGCAACTTCAAGCAAATTTGGGGTAATGCACATCAGAGAATCTTAGATCAGCTCCTAATGGTGGTTAATATTCTACTGCTCTGTTATTCTTGATCTTGTTTCACTACCTGTTTCCAAAAATCTACCTCTTTCCATGCTCACTCATTATGTTACCACAGTATATGGTGTAGTAATGAAATGTTTGAGTTCACACAGAAGGTAACCTACACTAACGACCAGTTCACTAACGTCTTGGGTCGTTTTGCCAACATNTCACCCGGACGATCAGACTACACCTTCACAATAAAGTTTCTCCTTCATCTGTGGTGCAATAGACCAAAATGTACAAAAGTGCTCCAAAGTGCTACTTGGAAGAACACAAAAATAAAAAGAAACTGTTGGGAAATAATCCTGATTGTTGAAAGGCCGGTCCTCAGAACTATTTTAATTTATTACTTTTGGTGAAAATTATAGCTGCCATCTTTGATTTTTTTTGAGCAGCAGAAGGCTGGGGAGAGGAAAAAAATTTGTACCAAGCAGGTGAGTGATGGTCAAAAAGGAGAGGGGAGGGGGTGGGGCAATCAAATGACTTGAGAGAAATCAGTGAACTGACCTGAGATGTTAGTAAAATGACCTAAGACATAAGTGAACTGGTCATCAGCAAATCGACTCGTAGGCGAAATCGGTTGAGTTGTGCATTTTCTTTGTTATGTAGGGAAATGGATATTGGGAGTTTCTACTCCAACAGCGAGGAGCAGACGTCGTAGCTTTTGATCAAAACACTGTTTATCCAAAAGATATGAGATATCTAGAGATCATGGTAAAGTTTTTTTGTGTTTTTTTTTTGTGTTTTTTCTGCGGGAGGATTTCTTGCAGAGGATGTTACATTTAACCCTGTATCACACACAAGGTTTCACATCGAAAGCAAAAACCTCTTTTTCAACTTGTTAATCTTGATTTACTTAGAAAGGTGACCCAAGAATTTTATGTGATTATGAAGACAGAGCTTTACTGTTAAGCTGGCCTGATCATGCAGGTAAATATTCGTGTTATGGTCACTATAGCCTCTTTATCACTCAAATCCCTTCTGCTTGGTACTTCTTCTCTTCACCAGACCTCGCTCCCCAAATCATTCAAACCATTACTGCTACTGACTAAAATTCATTCGTTTTCTTTAGTTTGTATTTTTTTGTTGTTGACAGAGGATTGCCCATTCTCACTGGACTGTCTGAAGTACTACAAAGGGAAAACTATAATTCACATCGGCGAACTCTTTGGCGAAACACTCTCATCAAATCCCTGGGGACAAACTACCTCACGTGCTTTCCAGCTTCGACTCGGAGAAACTTTCCGCTGCGTGTCACGAGTTCAGCTTCCAAACTGGCCTGGTCACATGGATTCACTAACAGTTTGGTCACGTGCTCCAGACGTCGTCGACTGTGAAGGAGCTGATATGATATTTATTCCATTGGAGAATCCGAGATACTTTGGTGGAGAGGTACTTGATGATATTTGCACTTCCTTATGACTAGACTTTGCACCCCTGGTCATCATAGAGCTATGGATTTTAATGAATATCTGGAAAGAGTTTTCTAGCACTGGACATCACAAAGGACTTGGCAATAAAATTATGTGGTCTCATCAAGGATAGTGAAACAAACAATAGAGGAAAGTAGTGTTAAATTTGAAGCTTTGGCACCTTTGTGGGCAATCGGTGATCCACATGACGGCAATTTGTTATACTTTTGTAAAAAGCTGTAAATTATTTTTATCGCGAAAAGGGTGTTGACAAATCTGTTTCAGAAAAAAGAACCCTTGTAAAGCAAGACAACAGAGTAAATCTCTATCTGTTCTTTTTATTAACTCCAATTAAAACTTACAATGACTGTGGTAAAGGAAGCACGTTACCTTAGTTAGTGGATGTAAACATTTTTCCATGTCCTCAAAAAACTGATTGATCAGTCCTCGACAGGGGAAATCATCGTGCCGGCGTTTTGTCTCAGACTCCCATAACTGTAACCTTGTGAGGCTGAGAAGCAGCAAAAATGAACAGGTCTTATCGTAAATACAGATAACATTAATAATGTACTATTAGTCGAGACTACAAAAATTAAAGTTCATTTATTCATAACAATAATTTGAAGACAACCTATTGAACCATTGGACAATTAGGCCAATTCCCTGACAATGATACAATTACTCAGGTTTCGTTACTCGGAAGCTTCCGGATAACTTCCACATAATTGTATTAAAATACTGTATTACTATAAACACATTTGATATAGAAGTCAGAACTCAGAAAATCGTGAACACAAAAAATGTTCATAGAATGTTTGTGTTCCAAGGGACAAACCAAACGGGTACGAGGAAACTAAACCGTAACAGCAAATCTGTTTATGGTTTTGAGGTTTTTTTGCATTCCCCCACTAGACAACTGAACTTTAAGAAGCTTATCACAGTGTTCATGGTTTTCTGAGTCTCACACTGAACAAGACGGATTCATATTAATTAGGGGAGCACCGCGCTTCGGTTTATTAATGGAAAGGACCACATTCGATATTTGCACAATAAAGGTAGTTTCACGTGATAAAACTGTGATCAAAGGCTGGTTTTTAAATAGAAAGTTGGGACGGCTCGCGTGAAGAAAACGTCTTAAGAAGACTCCTGTGGGTGCCATACCCAAGCCGGGACGCTGTATTTCGGAATGACTCACTGATCAGTAGAGTTCGAAACCCTTGCACATGGTTTAATGGATTCCTAATTACGTTCGCTACATTGTAGCTCAAAATATAGCTGGTGATTAGCAACCCTTTCCGTTATTTAGAACTTTTGAGCTCGACAATGATGCATCAGACCGATTGTTGTAAAACTGAGTTGTTTATCAATTTGAAGTAGCTTTCGCGTGCATTTTAATTCACAACTGCAGGAGATTCAATTATTGCTATCATTCAGTGACGATGCATTATTCGCGTGCTCTTATAATTGCTAAGTCACATGTTTTCCTCCATCAGAGGCCTAACTGCGCGAAAAGTGCTGCTCTTTTTAAGATTTCCTCCTTTCGGCGACTTCACCCAGGTAGATCCAGGACTCCACGAAGGTGAACGAGCCAACATCGACGAACGTCGGCTCGGGCTTGACAATCGGGATAGCTCGGAAATGACGGACATGCTTTCTTCATCGTCCTCGGGTTGGAAGACACTTGCGGGAGCTGCGTTACCTTGGAAACATAGCATCTCCACTTGTTCGTGCAACGTGGAAGCGAGATACACTGCACCGGGAGAGACTGCTGGACCAAGGACTCGTGGATTTTGAATTTCCAGAAACTTGTGCACGTAGTGACTACAATAAAACAAGAGAAAAGCGAAAAGTGAAACATTGAAATTATTACAAATAATGAAGGAGGACTAGTGCAAAGGTACCTGGAATTTTCGGCTTTGATCGGTGGGATTTCACAAACGTCGATTGAATTAAAATGAGTGACAAACAGGAACGGCTCACTGTATGCTGTACAAAAGAAGAATTGAACAAAGTCAAGTTAGCGACCTCTACATATTGTAGACTTAAAAGATTTCGCGCAGGGGTCGCCATTTGCACTTTCTAGAGTACCAGTAAGGTGAGCATCGTTACTGTGCAACTTCACTAAAGGGAAATTTCCATGATGTCAAAGCCGTATTTTATAACTAATCAAATGCGGGCCTTAACTTAGTGCGTACCAGTATGAGTCAATCACATCCACATTAACTGAGCCCTTGATATCTCGGTTTAAACAGGGCAGATAAATCGCACATTACGTTGATTCTCAGCGGCGATTTTGGCGAAATATTAGACATTTTAGAAGAGTTGAGCCTGCGAATCCACAATTTCAAATATTGTTAGCAATACAAGGACTCGATCGTACGCTTTCCTTTTTGCAGACAATAATAATGCTGCGCTGTTTTCTAGTCTTTCTTGTGTGAGTGAATATCAAGACCAATTCTTTTGTAATGGTTGATCCAAGTAAAATAATGAGCCGTCTCTGTCGCAGAAATATGAGCAAGGAAATAGTAGAGGAGAATTTTTCCAAATTTTATCATGAAACCCACCGAAAGCAAGCGGCAGTCTGCTCCACATCAAAGGTTTTTGCCTGCTGTGAGAACCAAAGCTGTTCACAAAAACCCCAAACTCTGAAACAGGGTAAAATTAAGATAAGTAAATAGACTTGCATGGTTTTTGACAGTATCTCGCGCATCAAATGCTATACTGAATATGCGTGTGATCCATTTTTGGATTCAAGTCTATAGGCATTTCTCACCGTTAAAACAAAGTAATAATTCTTCGTTGTCTGAATCCGCAGCGGTGACATCGAGAACGGCAATCGGGAATATGTTTAGTTGAGCGGCTCCATAAACTGCAAAGGCTAATGAAGGGTCTTTGGAGTTCAGAAATTCTGCAAGGAAATTTTGGGTTTTATGGTGAGATAAATGTGATCTTCTTCTCGCATGTCTTGAAATTGGCAAATCTACTATAGAATTTGATTTCTTTTCCAAACCTTTTACAACGTGTTGCTTTATGTCCAAAATGTATAACTTGCCAGTGCCGTAGATCACGTAATTCTTACTGAAATGAATGCAGTTACATGGTTCGCTTGTCTCGATCTCCTGCAAGTGAAAATAAGTCCGCAATGTACCCAAAAACCCAAATGAAGTCCAAGTTCAACCAACTCTTATGAGCATGTGAGAATTACTCAGAGTCCAGCCTTTTATTTGGGGTAGAAGCCCTCCTCACCATACAGCGATCTCAGGCTTCTTTCCGGAACAAAAGCTGGTTATCCAACATAAAATACGAGGTTGAAGTGTCTTAAAAGCGCTTCTCAATAGCGGAAATGTTCTTGAATTAGATTGGCAAAGATGAAAGACTTAAGCCAATGGAAAATTTATGTTTCCTTACCTTGCGGGTACAAAACGTCCCAATGCTTGCATTGTATCGCAACAGCAAAATGCTGTTAGGAGTTGCAGCGCAAATGTAGAAGTTTCCCTCACACTGACAGAGTGCAAAAAGTTGTTCAGAGAGTATAGCGTACATTTTCACGAGATGTTTCACAGAAGTTTATGCTATAATATCGTTTAGGGTTAATACAATCAAACAAAAGCGGGAAGAAAGTTATCAGAAGAAGACAACGAAACGTTGTTAATCATGTCATGGTCATTATCAACACATAATTCAAGAGTCAACACCCTTGATGTGCAAGAAAAATATTTCACAAACCTGCCCAACAGCAAACAAGTGACAATTGGTGATTTTTTCAATTCCCTGTGGAGTCAGCTCTGTTATTGGCACAGTGGAGTTAGAGTGTCGTGCCCGGCTTGTGACTTGCTTAAGATCGACGCTACACAGCAGTCTGTCTTTGCCTGAAAAAAAATTAGTTTAGAAGGGCACCTCATCGATCAAGAATCTTTACTTTTGTTTTCTTTCTCCGAAACCTACAAAAGCAAAGAATTTGTTTGAGCTTGTAAGCGTATGGCGAGGTGGAAGTACAAGGTAAAAACTTTCAGTGTCTTGAGCCCAAACGACGACTTATGGTACATCGAGGACTCCACACAGTACACGGGATCATGATAACCAAAAAACCTCGAGATTTCCTCGTAGCCTAAATCCCTTAAAATTTTAAAAAACAAAAGTTCAATACATTGTAAAAGAAAAGTATCACACCTTTAAAAAACATGTTTACGCTAAGAGAATATAAGATAAAAACAGGATATATGTGATATTTTTCACTTTACCTGCAATCATGATAACTTGGTTCAAGTCACTCAAGATATCAATCTGAAACGCTCTCTCGATTCCAGGAATGGCTCGAGGCGAGTGTTTTCTTGGGGTGTCAAGCGACAGAGAAAAGAGACCCTCTTCTGCACCAAGGAGAACCAACTAAAAGAAAAAAAAAAATTAAAATAATAATAATAATACAAATGAAATAGGGAAAAGTAACTAATTGAAATAAATGTATGAAAGCGACCCTCGCAGTAATGAACCCTACTTATGTAGGAGTGGAAATAGGGCCTGAAAAAAATGTAGGCCCGTGCGGGATTTGAATCCATGACCTCTGCCATACTGGTGCAGTGCTCTACCAACTGAGCTAACAAGCCAACTGGGAGCTGGTCATACTACATAAGCTGGTTAGTACTACATAAGTAGGGTTTATTGCTGCGAGAGTTGCTTTCATACATTTCATGACACCGTAGGACACATATATGATTTTCATATATTCAAAATTAATTTATTTATTACAATAATTTCTTAAGGCAGCAATGGATGAGATGGCTGCAAGGCGAGATTTCGGGTACCAGCACAATTACTGTAACGAAGGACAGACGAAAGATCTCGCATGAATTCCAGGCCAAGCGTCGGACGACTTTTTATATTGCAACCGTCGCGTCCATGAATTACATCGACGATACCCCAAAACTTCTTTGATTATTACCTCGTCATTAAGCAGTTTTGTGCAGTTAATATCAAGACGCTCGCCTCCCTCCAAATGAAGTAACACGTTGCCCATGAGCTTCTGCAAAGAAACATGAGAATCAAGTCAAGAAAAGGTTACTCTGCACGTATTACAAATCACAGAGAGCGTTTGTAACCTGATCCTCGCCGTCAATATTCTTCTTCTTAATCTCATCCAACACGAACTCCAAAGAGGTGACCCATTTCTGTTTAACTGGGAATGAAGGCGCTAAGATGTAAAGATTCTGAACGGGCCAACATCTCTGGCGCGACTCCACCCTCAGTATGTAGGGAAGATCCGTAGGGGCGGTACCTATCAATTCAGATGACATGACAGCGGAATGAACGGTGACGTGACCGTCTTTGCCACACAAGTGTAATATTTCTGATGGAGACGAGTTTTCTGAAAAAGAGAAACGCAACAGTTTTACCATTACGGCAGACACCTTGGAGAATCTCGAAATACTTTCTTACCGCCCATATTTTCTTTGTCATAAAGTTGCAGCATTTGATCGGCCAGGACTACCCATTTCTTCTCCCATCCATGCTTGACAGAACCACAACTGTAAAAAAGATACAAAGTTGTTTGTGACCACTAAAGCGGTTAGTCTTTTTTCATCAACATTGAGAGGTATCTTTGAAGTGATTACAAGTTCATCTTCGTTTGATAAAAATTGCGTTTTAATGTTTTTATCTTCTGGCATTGCTTTATGCTTGATGTGATCTCTGCTGAGACAGAACGTTACCAAACTCAACATGATAAAAAGTTACAATCCTAATGACACACTGAAGTTGATCTACTCCAAAATGCACTTTACAAAAAGGTCTGCATACCGTGGTACCCTGAGCCATCCTTCTCTCCTGCCTCCCAACCGAGTGGTGCTCTGTGAATTGCCCTCAGTTTCATCGCTCTTCTGTTCCTGAAGAGTTTCAGTGAAGTGCTCAACAAACTGGCTTGGTAATCCACATGTGCGTGGGAGGTTTGGTGCGCACTTTACATGGCAAACTAGGCCACACTCTGTAACGAAATGTTTGAAAGTGAATGAATGATCCAGTAACGTACATTTAGGTATCAGAGCGACAGTTTCTGTTAATCAAAGAGGTGATAATATCTAAAAAACTTCAAACCCCGCAAATGTCTTCTTTAAAAAAAAAATAGGCTTACCAGCACAAAGAGATGATGGACGCACGAAGTGTAGAGTATCCAAACACGTAGCACACTTGGTAGCACGCATGTTCAGGGCATTGACAAACCTGATGATAGACGACAAACGTATTATTTAATATGCTTACAACACGACCTAAACCTGCGTCCTACGAATTTTGCGCAAACCGCCGCCCAGTTAGCCCAATGGATAGTGTGCTGGACTGTTGTGCGGGAGGTCGAGGGTTCGAGCCCCGGCCGGACCAACACTCAAGGTCTTAAAATAATTGAGAAGAATTTGCTACCTTTCTATAACATCAAGAAATGGTTAGATATTCTAGTCTTCTCGGATAGGAACGAATAAATGGAGGTCCCGTCTCCTGCAGGGTTGGGGTAGGAGAAGTTAATTTCCCACACACGAGATTACTGTGTGATGGATGTCCTCCCCTGGGGTGGGATGGTGGGATGTACAGGCCCCCATTTAAACCAGCTTCAAGCTGAACTGGGCTGGCCTGTCTAAATATCGTAAATACAAATCAAGAGAACGCGTCTCTCAAATTGACCGAGTGACAATGTCGCCCTGAAGTATGGGGCTGCTCCAAAAGGTCACACTTTTTTTTTCAAACGGGAGTCTCAAAACGAAAACAAAAAACTCTCGGTTTGGAAGGCAGCTAGAATGGTGATGCCCACAAAGTTCAGGGCTAGCAGCAGAACTTGTAAGTCCTACCTGTGTGGTATATTATGATGCATCCTCTCTTTCGGTCTGTGTGATGTTCCGCGGCCAGCCGGAGTGGCTGCATTCTTAGCAGTCTTCGACTGGTTTTGAGCACCCAACGGACTCGGTTGGTTGCTGGGTGACTGTTGAATCGCGGACAAGACAGCGTAAGACTGGGTCGGTTTTGGAGTAGCACTTCCGGTGTTTTGTGATTTCCAGTGTGCAGCTGCCAAAGGGCAAAAACAAGGGTAAGTATGGCTCTGGACTGCGAGAGGCTCCTTTATTAGATAATTTTGCATATTTGTACCACAGAGGTCCTATCTTTGGATAAATTTTAGAGAGAAAAGACAGCTATTTCAACCCATGACAGTGGCTAAGGCAGCTTCTTGTACTCTCCACAACGAGCATAGGAAAGTCACCAACGTTTAAACTTGGTCTACAGTGAGCCAAGAAAAAATAACCAAACATAATACCGGGAATCACGTTTTATTTCGTCTACGAGAAATGTTTGTTTTCTCCTGACGAAAAAGTGGCCTACTGGGGTTCCTCCACTATAATCCGAATTTGATGACAATTTCCTTTGGAACTGATTGTTCTGAGGAAAGTTATAAGTTCATCTTCGAAATTAAAGCTTTTTGCACCAAAAATTAGACTGAAGTCTCAATCTGTAAGCATGTTCCCCTTCAAAAGAAGCAAGGGTGTGATGAAGCAGCAGAGCTCTTTTTCTTCCTTGCTTGCTCATGAGTGATCTTTTGAAAGTAGCACATCAGAAGGATACCTTCCATTTTAGCAGCTTGCATTTCTTGCCGAACTCTATTCAGTTCAGTCTGTAGTTTCAAACTGGAAGCTCTTTCCTTCTCCAGCGCCTGCTGCAAGTCTCGCCATTGTTGCGGCACCACATTAATACTCTCTGGTTTCTTGCGCCACGACTTACTGCCACCACCGATAAGCTACCAAACATAATCATATCACTGTTTCTAGACACTACTTACAAATTATCAATAGTCATATCTCAAAGAAATCAGTGAAAAACTATTTTCGGGAAAAAAGAAAGCTCTAACTGGAAACAGGAAAACGATAGCAAAATGGAACTCATCATGCAAAGTTACAATCCAAGAATTTATCTATGTATCATGTAAAGATTTAGGGTTTGTCCTTTGTTGTCAACGAAACAAAACGGTGCGCAGCCAAATAAAGATATGATTATATTAAAAAAAAAACCCACAACATTTTTCCTCGCTCCAAACATGGTACCTTCTAGTGCAGTTGTTACTAACGCCCAACTAGTTTCGCTCTAACGAAGGGTTAACGCACGAACTTCTGCGTCAGCTTTAGAAACTCTGCGGTGGCCAATTTACAGTATCAACTCAACTGTAACACCAAATTATCTCTCTGAGTATTTGAGAGGCATGGGTACGAATCTCGTGGAAGCATGAATTCTTTTCAGGCTTCTTTCTGTGCATTTTCTTTGATTGCAGTTCACGTGTGAGGATACCTTGTACATTTTCATAATTCACGGGTCAACACACGATTCCTATCATTCATTTCTGATAAAATGCAACATGAATTCAGGGACAATTTCACCTTTTTCTTTTTAGATGCTTGGCCTTCAGATTTGCACTGCAAGAAGTCAATCAGTTTGCTCTGTTGAGAGCTAGTTGCCTCTAGTTTGAGGCGCTCTTCAGCATGCGAGGCCTCCATTAGATCCAGCTGCTCAGCTAAAGCAGCTCGTTCACACGTCAGTTCATCGCACTTCTCCATAGCTGCCTCTATGTTCTGGTTTAACTCAAAGTTACTGGACTTCAGCTTAGAAGTTTGATTCTCGAGACGCTCAACCTCAATCTTTAACTTGTTGTTGTTTTCGATTCCAAGTTGAAGTTTGCGTTCCAAGGATTTAATGTCCAGTTGGACCATTCCATATTTGGTCTCTGCCTCGCTAAGCTGCAATGGATGAGGACATTTTAATCTTGGCATCGCTTACACAGCTGTTGTTAAAGGTCTGATCACTTGCCACGAACAAGTTTAATTCATTGGCAGTTTATTTGGAATACACTGAACACTGAGGACTGAACAAACTACAATCGAATCTTTATCAAGCGGCCATCCATGGGGAATGGCGGGGTGACCGCTTAATTCCGGTCAACCGCCAAATACAGGTTCCACAGATCAGGGGTTTTATAAAAAAAAAAATAATACAAAACCCCACATAATTGACCTCTTTATGTACAGAATCTCGCTAAAAAAAGGTAGTTACTTTTATTTTGGGAGCGACGCATCGATTACAAATTACTTGAAACATTATTCTTAGTTTCATTTGAGTGGTTGGGCTCTACAGGTAGAAGACAATACAAACAGACCTTTGGAACTTCGTTAAGGGTGACCACTAACTAAAGGTGAAAATCACAGTGTGACCATTAAATACGGTACCGCTTCGTACAGGTTCGATTGTACGGGGAAATTATGACAAAAATGGGCCGCACATTCTTCCTACTACGGAACTTATTACCATACTAGGTACACCATCAGGATAAACTTGCAAACTTCAAGAGTGTTATAAAGAGTTACGGTACTTATTCCGCGAGCATTTCAATTGAAGCACTTTCTCAGGAATAATTTAGATAGTAGAAATATCAAGATACTAATTTATGTTCATTATCACTGATGTATTTTTAAAACTTCTTCTGCATGAACTTCCTAAATCTGCTATAGAAATCCTTTGATTATTCATTCTACAGTTTTTCCTCTCTTTTCATTATTTTGTATTTTTCCCCTACATTAATTTTCCATAGCAGTCCGCATGTCAATTTACTGAAAGTTTTCGTTTTTCGCTCGCTTGTGATTGGAAATTACTTTATCTCAAAGTTGATGTAAGGTCGCACGCTTGTTTGAAGTGCGCCTCTTAGAAACAAGCCCATCTGGAAGGAATAACTTACCGCTTCTGTCAGCTCCTCGCAACGTTGTCTCTGTCTGTCCAGTTGAGAATTCATCATGCCAACCTCGTTGATATGAGTGGTTTGCACTTCTTTCAACGCATCCTGTAACTTGGATACTTTCTCTTCGGCAGCCGAACTAGGCAGTATAATGAAGCCATTTAACAGAGTCAATGAAATGCCTACATACAAACATCAATCACGCTCTTCTAGATATGGTAAGTGTTTGTTTTTATTACATCGCTCACAACGCTCGTGGGCAAGATGAAGCGAATCCTGCGTTCTGATTGGCTACCGGAGCGGGCAAGATGGGCCCATCTTGCCCGCTCGGGATTTCCTGCATCAATCCCGCGCGTGAAAAAAATAGAATTAGGAACCACGTTCGTAATTCTTGGACAATTTCGACGATGGAAACGCAGAAAGTAGCAGATGATAGTGAAACAAAGAAAACAGAAACGACTCTTTTGAGTTTGCTGTGCTACAAACACAGTTGGCTTTCTTTCTCGGCTCTCGAAGTAAACAAGTCATTTCTAAATTCTTAATAAAGCGAAATTTTACTACAAT